ATAAAAAGTTTATAAACTTCTATTTACTTTTTTTAGGATATACAATCCATAAATTACACTACCACGTAATAAGATTACCTTTACAAAAAATAAAACTTTTCTAAAGTTGTAAACCTCTTTCATGAAAAGAATCTCACACATAAACAATACAGAAGGCAGAACAAAATGGTGGCATGTAAAAAATTACATACATATATATAATCCAGCTTAGGAGTTTCCTTTTCAGAAGATAGACATACAAATACATACATAATTATTCGAAGTATAGATACAATCTCATGAACACGACGTAGGCGTGAATACAAAAGATGTATTGGAGAAAAAGCTTTATGAAAGATTATTATTTCTTATTAGAAGAAGACTTTTGAAAACACGTCACTCCTGATGATTAGATAATCGTTGTTTTGACATTTAACTTAAAGGGAAGAAAAACATGTATTTCTGGGATTTCATGAAGACTTGTATTTGTAAAGTACAAACCAGAAGACACCGAGACGGCATAAATACACCTAAAGAGGTCTAACTATCAAACAGTTGTATAAAGTGGGTACTGAAAGAAATATAACGAATCAACTTTAGCAGATACAAGTACAAAGTTTGTATACGTGGATATTCAGATATTTTAATTCTTATGTTTATATACGTAAGTACCTCAATTTGTTTGCAATACAATGAATATAAAGTACTAAAAAAATAATACAAAATCGAAATTACTCATTTTGAGATCCATACACACACACCTAAATATCTTGCCGGTAACAAAACTCGACACAAACAAGTCACATTGACTACAGTATTCGAAGGACAGAAATCTTTAAATGTTACTTTAAATATCAAAATTTCAGCTGCGTTATACGAACCCAAAAAGAATCAAAACACACTAATATGATAACACTTAGAGAATCTAACATATCAATGTTTTATTAGTTATACCAACTCATAGAGGAACAAAATACACTAACGTTGTAACAGTTAAAATATCTGACATATCAATATCTTATTAGTTATACGAATCCGTATAGAAACAAAACACACTAATGTGATAACACTTAGAGAATCTAACATTTCAATGTTTTATTAGTTTTGGATGCCTCCATAATGACCAACTATCAAATGTACAATCTCCGAGGATTATTTATTCTCTCTGAACTTTTATGATGCTTATTTTATTTTTATTCTCCATTAGCGCCTAAACTTCTCCTCAGAAATCACGTTAAGCACTAAGTGACTCCAAAAGTTTAAAGATGTGGCGGAACTTGTTTAAGGTCGAGGACGCTGTTTTCTCCTCTTTTATACAACATTCCCTTAATGCATCTTTTTTTTTTCATTCCAAAAATACATATTGTAAACCAAAAACTGCATCCAAAGTAAGCAATTTGTTAAATGGCTGTAAAGCAACATTCTGCTTTGAAGTCCTCCATTTTTAGTGACAATTCTAAAACTGTCATCAAACTCGAGATAAATTTTTCTTGCATTTCATATGAAAAGAAAGTTATTTAAAGTCAAGATTTTGAGTTCTTAATGACTGAAGTAATGAATAAACAAGAATAAGAGGAACGCCATTAAACTTGGGTTACAGACTTACAGTGGGAATAATAATGGTTGGAGACGGCTTGAATGGGTAATCAAGAAAAACTTTAATATAAGTTTAACATAACAGAAAATGTACAACGTTTGGACAAGGTTTTGTCATCATCAGGTACATTTTGTCGAAACGTTGTACATTTGCTGTTATGTTAAACTTATATTAAAGTTTTTCATCATTACCCATTCAAGCCGTCTTCAACAATTATTAGTCTCAAAGTAGATTCCTCGTCATCGAATTACAATGGAAATCTTATGGTGTGATTTTTGGTTGTATGTTGCTAAATGCAAAGCTTGACAACAGGCTGTACTTTGCCCACCGCGGGTATCAAACCCCGATTATTAGCATTATACGACCAAGTCAGAGAAGATTTTAAGAGTTTCCCAATTCTCACAGAGTATAATGATTTACGGTTAATGGAGTATGAAAACTTGACTCCCTAAATCATTATACGTTAAGGGACATTGTGTACAATCCATCAGCGAAAGTCACAGTCGAGAAGATTTCAAAAAACCATGACAATGCTTGAACTTCAGATGCCACATTCAACACAGCCGGAAGAAACCCAATTGTCCATCAATATTTTTTCTGGGTCTTAAAACAACCGCCGAAAATGTACACTTACGATGACAATAGAGGACGCAGTCACATTCAACAGATTGCAAGAAAACACAGAAATGTTCGAAAACTGCAGTGGGCGCTGCGTTGAGTGACAGTTAACAATAACTTACCCACTCCTCATCCACTCAAACTTCAAGCGTGAAGGATGAACTGTCGACCAATGAAAGAAAACAACGGGATGAGATCAGGGGCGGTATTGGCCCATTGAGGGCTCTATGATGGAATACTTTTTGGACACCCTCACCAAGCCCCTAAACAAATTATTAATTGCAATATTTTCGCAAACAAAATATACTCCAACACAGCACACACTAATACAATTGATAAAAAGTCATTTCTACTCACACACTAACATCACTCTGCAGGTATTTTAATTCAATTTCAGTTTATAAGCTCCAAGTGACTCCAAAAGGTTAAAGATGTGGCCGAACTTGTTTAAGGTCGAGGACGCTGTTTTCTCCTCTTTTATACAACATTCCCATAATGCGTCTTTTTTTTTTTTTAACAGTCTTGACCATGATAATGAATTAACAAAAGTTCTCACAGCAAAATTAAAGATATTCACACCTGTCTATGGGAAACGTAACTGTTCCTAACTGACATTTTTTTTTTTACAGGTGCAATATCTAAACGTCCGTAGTAACGTTTTTGGATCGCTTTCATTGAAAAAAAAATTTTTTTTCCATATTTACAATATTAAATTAGGCCAAAGACAAAAGTTCTACCGAAAAAAAATCCCTGTGAATTGGAGGCTCCTTGATTTGATCGGGGCCCTAATCAAATGCTTATTCTACTTATGCTTAGCGCCGCCACTGAATCAGATAACCGCGGTTTAGTGCTGATCAAATAAGCCTCGTTTTGTCGTCGATCTATAAAAGAAGTCAGCGAGGCCAGTTAAACAGCATTTTAACTTTTATATAACATATAAGGATTGCGATTGCTGCTTTTATCATGCTGCCATCCTGAAATGCTGGTCTTCACATGCTTTACGCCATCCTGAAATGATGGTCTTCACATTATCCCACAGTATAACTTCGTTTAGTGTATCGGAATAGGAAACGGGTAGATTTTGGACAACGTCCACTAGACACATAATGTTCACAAATTCTCCATAAAACATAAAGAAGGACTTCACACACCTTTCTTCGATACTGCATATTCTGGAAACCAATCCTAACAAATATCTGAAGGACACGTCATATCTTCAGATGTTGTCCTTGGTTCTATCTTTCTGTCCGTTTGTTTGTTTGTAATTAAGCACAAAGCTA